AACCTACGTAGTTAGTTACGTTACTATATATATATATATATATATATATATATATATATATATATATTTCTATCTCTAGAGTTGTATAAATGTATTCATACTGTAACAACCTAATACGCTCCCCTCCTCCCAATAAAGACTGATGGTGAATATGGATATTTATCACAAGTAATCTTCTCCCACAGCTGGTTTTGACCCATTGAGTATGATGGTAGAAGAGGTGAGCACACAAGGTACAGTCTGAATAAGCCCAACCTCACTACACATATTGGTTGTTGCCTGCAAGTACTGGGATGGCTATGTACTGATTCTGCTTGTCCATGCAACACCAATCTGGCTTATTTGCCACTCTTTACTATGCAGGCAAAGAATATACCCTTGACAAAATATGATGCAGAGCCCCTACCATCAGGTGGCACACCACATGGGCTTTCTTTGGATGCTTTTTGAAGTGGGGGGGGGGCTCATCTAGGTAATATTTACACCAGTCCATTCACCATCTCAGTGAAGGATTCTAGCTAAACTGTGTGAAGATGAGTTATCATCTCAGAAGTTAACATTTTCCTTATCTGGATGTGTATTTATGATAGATACCTCTGCACTTCCAGTGCACATTTCTTAATTCCATTCAAAGAATGGATATTCACATGTGCAAATGCATAGGGAGAGTTAGTGTGCATGGAAGCGTGTTACCCTTTTATTGGTGGAGGGCTTTTGCTGCATGATTGCATCATTATACAGTGGTGTAAATTCACAGTATTTTTTTGTTAGTGGTGCATGGAAGTGGATTTTTTTAAGCCATCTAAATTATCATTCTTTTAGTTTGATATACTTTTGTTGTAACTTAGAATGGTCACACATTTATTTCAGGTTTAGAAGAGAAAAAACTTTAGCTTTAAAGTTGACTTGCATTCCCCCTTTTGAAACATACAAAAATGAGGTTAAAAGTTTAAAATTGCCACTGTGTCTTTGAACAGTTTCAAAAAATAGTTGATTTCTTTCTCACTTAATCAAAAACAAGTTCAGACATGCTAATTCAGCATTTTACCATGAAAGATTGAAGCTAAATTACACAATAAAAGTATTTTCATAACATGGCATCAGCAAGATCACCTTGTTTCTGTTAATATAGTGTAAACATGATTCAGTGTAAGTAGTATTCTGTGAATTAAGGGTTCATTTTAAAAGTGTTTTATACACACATACACACTAATGGCTTTGAAAACCTAAATGTAATGTATATGAGTTTATGGATGTTTATAGGTAATTAGCTATATTTTTATCATTATATCTTTAATGTTTTCCAAGTATGAAACTTGTGTATGTTGTGTTCATGAGAGATAAGTCTAGTTAGAACTTTGGTAAATGCAATATTTGTTCAAAGAAAATGAAAATAAAATTACTACTTTCTTGTAGCTAGCTTCAAGTTTGTCTCTATGAACACTAAGTGATTGTTGGATTATAAAACAAAATACATATGGAGATCAATGTAAATCTAGGGAAAAAAGAAAGCATCCATTTTTCATTGAAGACCTGAACTTTCTTTATACATAAAACATATCATTGGAAAAATGTTCATATCAGTGTTTTGCAAAATGTTTATTAAAGACTTAAACATTATCTTAAGGTTATTGCAAAATAAAAATCAGTTAACACAGATGATCATGAGAATTTCTAGAGATTAGTATATTTAAGTAATTTGTGCTTGAATGTTTTTAAATACTCCAGTACAACTGGTTAGATATTTTTCTTAATTGCTGATTTTTTTCACATAGTACGATGTATATGAAACATATTCTAAAACATTTGATCAGATATGTTTATTCTTTTGACCTTTAGAGAGATTTTAATCTATTATGTTATACAGATGTACCCAGAGAGGAATGTTAACACTATGAACATCTTAAACTGGGCTTTCAAAAGTCTTCAAAAGGTGAGTTGCAATAGTGTTTTTATTCATTTCTTCTGTTTCTTCAACATTTTTGTTAAAATGATTGAAATGTATAGTTATAGAGTCTGGAAATGTATTTTCTAAGTCATATTCGGCAGTGCATTTGGATTTAGCTTGTGGATAAAATATAAAATTTTGGTGTTGGCAGTAGTCATAATTGATTTTGAAAGTATTAGATATTCAAAATTCTGTACACTTTATATGCTTTCTTTTTTTCTCATTTTTCTTTCTGAAAACATAGTTTATATTAAGGATGGTTTCTCCAACTTTGATGTTGAAGAGAGATTACAAAAATGAATATGTTTGTATATTAATGCAGTTGTTATATATTTCTAAATGATTCTTCCATAGCTTCATAGTGTATTGAAACGACATAATCATTTAAAATGCTTTTTTTTATCATTAAAAATTTTTCTCACTAGATTTGTTTTGTTGTTAAGCATCAGCTACACAATGGACTGTTTGTGCCCACCATATGGGTATTGATACCTGAAATTTTGTGTTATAATCCCTCAGACTTAATGCAGTGCCATTGGGGGGGGGGGTCTTCAAACTGGAAACAACATTCACAAAAGCAAAATCGGTGAAGTACAGATGATATGACATTTAGTTGTTCTGAGAAAAACTGTGATATTTCTTAGATATATACAATAACGTATGTATCTTTATATTAGTGTGTATTAAGAAGCAAAATTGAGATACCACATTTTGGAAAGTTTTGAATTGGCCTTTGTACACAAGTGATCTCTGTATAGAGATGTTGACCAGTGCAGTTTTTAACTAAATCATTTTTTCTCTTCAGATATATGTATAAATGTGGCAGATTATATAACAATTATTTGATGCTTCATTGCATTTACTACTTTTACAAAATAAAAAAAAATAATAAAAAATACTGAGATAAGTTTTGTTTAAACTGTTAAAATTTTATGGAGTATAGCTTATTCTTACACATATGAAACATTTCCTTTGTAATATATTTCCAAAACTACAAACACAAGGAGAAAATAGTGGTAAATAATATATCATAGAAATTAAGTGAAGTGTGTGTACAAGTACACTTCACATTTATTCGTTGTGTATTCATATTACATCTATGTAGTAAAAATTTAAATAATAAGGTATCATTTGTCCAAGAAAACATCATAAGCACTTATTACATGTATTTTGTATAATTTTATAAGTAGAAATATTAAGCCAGTTCAGTATATGTACCAGAATCACTTATTTTTGATTGCTTAAATGTTTTTGCAGCTTGCAAAAAGGATAAACACTCTTCCACCTTTATAACATGATTAAGCTTATTACAGCTTCCTTCATGATTAGAAAATATATGGTGATGGTTGGTGGTCAGTCTGTGGGGTATAATTTTTTTTTTTGTATCAGATACATCATCATTGTTACTGTTAACCTTTATATACACTCGGTCATACTTAAAAGTTCAGATGCTGATGCAGTTCATCAAAAATGAGTTTTCCTTCACGCTAGAAAATCCTTTTAGAATGACATCGCTTGTTAAAGTTGCAACCAAACAATTTTTCTGACAGTCTCAATAAAGCTAAAGGAACATCATCTTCTGTGTGACTTTCAGTGACTTATTGTGACTCGATCTTTACTAATCTCAGTCTTTAGTATAAAATATCTTCTTTCCATTTCTAAAAATAATTCAGTCTCATCCATGTTAGAAATAGCTTTCAATCTGTAATTCTTACTTAATTCTGGGAGGTATAGTTTCCAATCATTAACAATACAGTCATCTGCATTAGCACTTTTTCCAAATTTTGTACCAAACACAATAATGGTTGAGAAATGATTTTAGCCAACCATTGCTGGCCTTGAAAATTTTATTTGTAAAAGATACCATAAATGCTAAGTAATTTCAAAATGTATATGACAATATTTTTATCTCTCTAAAATAATAACAAAATTAAATAATACATGCATATATATTATTAAAAAGTTGTTGAAAAGGATTGCCACAGCCAAGTTTCCTTTTTGCTTTGTTTGCACAAATGTATGATGAAAAGATTAGTTAGTATAAATGTGAATTATCATATTTTAATTATTTGATTTTTTTTTTTTATTGTGACAATGATGTGACATGATCTTTATATACAGTAGTAAAATTTACTCCATGGTTCTATCTTGTTCATATGGGTATTTCTGTGATAAATAAAAGCCCATAAATGTAAAATATAACATTATTAAAAGTAAAGAAACATTCAGGTCTTTGGAAAACTTTAACCCCATTTTTCTGAGAAAGTTACCTGTTACAATAACTTTGTAATTGTTGCATTGCATAAAACATTTAAATTATAGTTAATTTATACTTCAGTAGTTTTATTGACTTTACTCCTACCTTGACTGATACCTATATTCACAGATTTTCAGTATTTCAGGATTGTTTGAACATGTATTTGTCTTATTCATTATTCAGTTTTCCGTTTGCCTTTGCTATTTTTTGAAAATTGTGAAAATTTAAACCAGTTTACAAGAGACAGTGTACACCTTTTCATAGCAGACATATGATACATGTAAAAAATTTGATGAATATAGAAATTTTTATGTTGATAACAAGAAAATATTTGATGTGGGTATCTTACACACACACGCTCACACACACACGCTCACACACACACACACACATGAAAAAAAAAGTATTTCTACGTGTGAAGGGATATTGTACTGTGATTAGTTCTGCTTGTACATTTTTTGCAACTTGATTGACCATAGCTGCAAGTAATTGGGTTAATATAGGCTATATTTACCAAATGTGTACAGGCTTGGTCCGTTGGACTTATCTTGTATTGAAAAAGGAATGTTGACTGTAATTCTACATTTCTATGTGCAACTACATGGAATATGGCAAGCTTTGAGTAATATGTAAAAGTCTATTATACACATAAAATCAGACTGATAAATCAAAGTGTAAGATAATTTTCACGTGAAGGTTAAAATACTTTTGTCCATCCTAGTTTGTATATTGCATTTATATATTGTAATGGACAGCACCATTAGGGCTAGTCATTGGAGCTTTGATTATATTGCCGATTCCACCAATTTTATTTGACTGAAGATTGCAGTGGCGAGTGTAGCTCACAAGTCACTAACTTGAGGAGATTTACGGTTAGAATAAAGAAACTGATCCTGAGACTGATGCTCAACATAATACATCAAGTTTATTCAAGTTTTTATATCATGAGATACACTTTTAATAATATTGACTTTAATCATTCGTTAACTTGTCGTAAACCACGTTCAGGTTAAATAACAGTGATATTCATAACTTTCACATAAAATATGTTACTCTCTTAACTTTTTATATCATTCTTTTATAATCTATCAAAAATTACATTAATTGACTAAGAGAGAAATAGTTTTGTTACTTACAACAAAGTTGGCCTGGTAAAAAGTTGAAGATTGGACACTTTCATGTTCATGGTTTCTGAACTATCAGCAACTCTGGAAGAACCTCAATTCTTCCTGGAGATCTGCTGATTTTTAATACCAGACACGAGTTTTTAAACCATATTTTCTTTGCATTCTTTCGACTTTCCAAGTAGTATTCCTAGCTATCCGCAAGTAGTTCTAACACTTTATTGGGCAATCTGTGCAATTCCCCAGGGCTATTCCAAAACAAGAACCAAAACTCTCAAGTAATTGGTTACTGTGATGGTGATTGCTCCTGTTGCCTTTTACTTGTACTACTACACTGGTCTGGAGTAGCAGATTTTACATCAAAGCAATGATCTGAGATGCTATCATAAACTTTTTAGTAGTATTTACTGTATTATTAACTCAGCATTAGTAACTTATCATTGTCAAACTCATGACCAGCATCCCTGTTGTAGCTTCATTTTTTATAACTTTTAACTCTTGATTCTCTAAATGGTGATTCTCAATACCACTTAACCAGCCAACTGTATTTTCCTAGCTCTTGACCTCATTTCATAATACAGGCATCTTTTACTTATGCCATTTCTTCATGTATATGTTCACTCAGAAAAATTAGAAAATTGTTATAACTTTTTTCTTAAACTCTTTTAAAATGCTGAAAATACTGAAGCAATTGTAAAATTCCCTCAAAAATATCCAAATTTTTCAATATCCTCTAGAATGTCTGAAATACGTACCTGTCTATTGTACAGTTTGTGTATTGTATTTGCATAACCTTTAATACTTTTTAAAATATATAACTAGAGTTCTTTCAGTATCTCTATATATTTTATGAGGTATGAACTGTCCTCTACCACAAACTGTTACTAAATCAGCAGTGTGGGTTTAAATGAATAGTTAATAACCATGGCATATACTAGGGCTGGGACAAATAGTCATAATAATCAACTATGACTAGTTAACACCCGGCTATTCAATTAATTGTTTTTTATTTTACTAGTCGTAAGTCTTAGGTTATGTTGTCTATCTGCTACTTAGATTGCAAATTTAATTCAACTTAAATAAGTAATTTACACCATTCATCATAAATTCATACTGATTAGTTAACTGCTATAATAACTAGACGGGCACTCAGTAGAGCACATACCTCTGCCATGCAGTGTTGATCATATTTGACTTTCAAAAAATACAAAAATGTGTACATATGTCTGTCATTATCAATGGATACAGACCGTCTCTGGCAGGACAATGAGGAATATTATTCCACATATGTCCACCAAGTTTCATCAAAATCTGATTATTTTTTACTGAGTTATAGAGCAAAAGTAGTGTGAAAAAATGGCCCCATGTTAACAGATAGAAATTTTTTAGATTTTTATGACCTTGCTGTGACTAATCACTTCTAAGATGGGTCATAGTCCAAATGTATACCAACTTTTGTTCAAATCTATTTAGTTGTTTTCGAGAAATCATGTTGGATAACACACACACACACACACACACGGGTGAAAACGTAACCTTTATCCACCTTATATGGTGGAGGTAATTAGTGATGTTGATAAAGCAAAAGTGGCTGTTTTGAATTTTATGCCATTGTGCTCAATCTTATTATGGAAAAACAGTGAAATTTTAGGGTTTCATTTGAATAAGGATGCCGTACTTATAGAAATGAATTTCCCCAAAGTTTCAGTTTCCAGAAAAGGAGATGTGACTGTGAAATTCAGTTTCAGTTATTCAAACTAGTCTGTCAACATGCCTCTGAAATGAAAATATTGGAAGTATTGTGAACGTAAGGAAGAAGAATTTACAAAGAAGAAAGTGCTTTGTTTATTGTACTTGGGACAGGTTTACTTGTCATGGGCATTGACTATGAAAAACCATCTTCAGTCAAAGCATGCTGTTGAATACAATGAGGTAATACCTATTACATGTGTCTAAAAAGGTTTATCTGTAATTATATCTGTTCTTTGAAATGGCTTGTTTACCCATATACACTAATGCTCTCAAAGTAAAGTATAGATAGCAAGTTATTGAAGGTAAAAACAAAGAATGTCTAAAATATCTGTCACTGTTGTAACATATGTATGCCCAATACAAATTTCATTTTATTTTGGTATATAAAGGTTCAGGAGCAGCAGGAAAACTTGAAAAAGGTCTTCTTGGAGCCTCGAACACCTGCAGCAAAACTATCTGGCAATGTGTGATAGATTTAACTTGCTGTTATCCAGAGATCGCTACATATATATCACCAAGAACCTGATACTAATGTTTGTGGTAGACGTGCATCCAATGTCCATTGCTGATGGACAGGGATTTGCTTCCTATAGCAAGGCTTTGGATGAAAGATATGACCTCCCATCCCACAAGACAGTGAAGAAGTATCAAGAGAATGAAGTGGAAGTAAAATGATAGTAGGGGACACACACGATAATGCCTCAAATATGGAAGTAGTTATGTTATAGCTTGGAGGTGTGCCACACACAGGATGTTTTAAGCATACATTACAGTTTATTATCAAAAAAGTAATGGTTAATTTTAACATCAAGGAATGTGTAAGTGTATGCAAAAGTCTTGTTACAAACTTCCATTACTGTCTTTGCCAATAGGAGAGCTGCAGAAGCAACAAGCAGCAATAGGGAAGAAAAAGATTCTGATCCTACAGCACTCCAACAAGGTGTGGACTACCTGGTGGAATAGCACTTACTTCATGCTGAAGAGCCTGTTAACCAATAGATTAGCTCTTCATGACAAAGCTATCACAAAGCCTGATGCTGCAAGAAATCTGGAGATTTTAAAACATGCCTGGTCAACTTCTGAAGATCTCTGGAGTATCTTGAAGCCATTTAATGTTGATATTGCACATATAAGCATAGAACTTTACTCTTGGTTGTATCTACCCAGTGATCAGTGGTATTATCACCAAGCACCTCCAACTGCAAGCAGAAGATCTGGAGCTACTGACACACTTCAATGAAAATGTACAGCTTCACCGAGATGACGATTCAGTGGAGCAGTGGAGGAGCATGATGATATATTGGCAGCAGTGCTTCACCTATGCTTCAGAAACTTAAATTTCTTGAGTAGGATGCTGTCTCAATAATTTCAGAAAAACTCCAGAACCGGTACCCAAGGATAGCACCTTGGCCTGGTGGATGCAACCATTATAGGTTTCCAAACATACTTTCCTCAAAAAGAAGATGCTATGCTGACTATCAACCTCTGTGCCAGAGAATTTTCTGAGCTGCAGGCCACACCATTGTAAAGGATAGAGTAAGTAACATTGGAGCCAGACACAAAGGATGAACACTTGTTCCTGCATGACTACCTTAAGACAAAACAAGGCACTCTTGAGGACCTTGTTGCAGCAACCAAAGATCAAAACTTTGTTCATGTTAACCATGAAACTAATTCTGTGGAATACAGGCAAACACCAAGCTTCAAGTTCTGCCACTGCAAGTCCTGCACTGCCCAAAGTCAGCAAACTTCCTGACATCTAGGACTTTTGAATTTTTTTTTATAGTGTATAAGTTGAGAGTTTCTGCACTACCAATTGTATGTGTATCTGTTTGGAAATAAATGCATTTATTGGTTTAATATGGAATTTTGTGTAATGAAATTAGTGACTGCATTTAGTTTAGACTATTCAACTAATTGTTGGCTAATGGTACCCGACTAGTCGATTAATGGTTTTCATTAGTTGTCCCAGTCCTAACATATACATAATACCATATTAAATGGCACTTTGTAAAAGGTAGCATGCACATTTTGAACCCCACCTGTGTTCATAGGGTTAAATGGTTGAATAGTATTATTTGTTGGTCATGTTGAAAAGATGCATGTAATTACTTCTGAAAGGTTTTAAATATTAGAAGTTGATTGATAGTGGGCTAAGAAAATGTAGTCATTATGTGGAAGAGGTCATTAATACAGATTTGACAATGTGCTGAACTAGAGTTTCTTTGAAGTTATCTGCTTTCATTTTCTATAGATGCAAGGAAAAGTTTGCATTTTATTCTAAACTTAAAGTCTGAGATGTTTAAAATGTCTAAATATTTTATAATAAATACTTAACTGTGTTATTGTAATTAAAGCTTGTGCTTTAGAAATAAATGTCTTGCAGTAGGAGGTTGGAATTAAAATTATTATGAATAGAAATGCTAACAATATGAAGGTTAGTTCCTAACAGTCTGAATCATCAGGCAGCAAACTATATTTATTATTACTCTTTGTTAAATTATAAGTGAATATTTATACTTGCAGTTTTTTTTCCATATATTAACAATTGTCTTCTGATAGTATCCAGAGCTTCTTACCGTTATGACTGTTATATTGTTTGAACTTTATTATTTACGTATGCTTTCTTATTTTTTTTCATGCTATTATTTTCATTGTAGTTTCTCCAGTATATATATAGCATTGTATTTTAGGCATATAGTTTTAGTACCATACTACATATCTGGTAAAAGTGAAATATACAACTTTTTGTACATCAACAAAAATATTGTAAGAGCCAATAAATATTGCAATCTATACATAATTATAATTCATTATGTTAACAGTAACACATTAATTGATAACAAAACATTGATGATTATTTGAAATTAAATAACATAACACTAATCTAAAGATTTAACAATGTGAATTCCAGAGAGTTTATATTACTACAATATTCATATCACATGCACTGGATATGAGGATTTTCAGTTTTCACCTTGTAAAAATATGTGCATTTTAGAAAATCTTGGATTGAAAAATATTTTCTTTGGCCATAAAGATATATCCCCACTGATTGTAAAAACTGTTCAGTTATCCTCAGACATAAAATACATCAAGACAAGTCAAAAACAAAGCATGTAAGTTGCATCAAGTTATTCGCCAGCATCTGAGTAGTGTAATTTTTTATGAAGCAGCCAGTCATACTTTCCTAAGAATAACAACATACCTGGAAAGAGTAATCAAAATGGCTATTTTTGAACACAATGTATTATTTCTTAAAGACATTGAAAAGTCAGTTAGAAACAAGGTGTGATGGGAATGGTTAGAGAAAACATGACTGTAAAAGTTGGAAAAAGTGAAGTATGCACAGTTCTTTTTGAACATATTTGAAAATACATTTTTAGGGTATCAAAAAAATACTCCTTCTATATTTCTTTGTCATTTTGGGGGGTCTTTTCTACATTGTATTTTTCAGTTATATAAAACCTTTTTGCGTATTTGATGCATATTAATATGTTATTGGAAATTAATACTTTGAATTGGTACCCTTCATTAAAAAAATTGTTCAGTTGCATTTTGTATGTTCTTTGGAAGTTTCATACCACACATTTAAGTATGGTTACAGTTATGATCATAATAATTTGGTTTACAATGTAAATCTTATTGTATGCTGACATATTAAACATGACTAATTTATTTTCTTGTGTACTTACTTTTGTTGTGATACAAAACTTGTATACATACAGTCTTTGTGTTGCGATGATTTTGTTCTGCTCTGTTCCTAGCACTCATAATAAGGTGATAACTGATTATTAATTAGTGAACATTATATACCTTGAAATATTGAAATGAAACATACAAAATATATTACCATTCAATGTCCTGTCATATGGCAATGTTGCTGTTATCTTTATCACTCTTACACATGTTGTTTTATTGCATTATGCTTGGTTGTTTGGTAAAAAAACAAAACTGCTACTATTTTTTAGTCATATCTACTGCATTATTCAGTCACCTTCACTTTTGTTTTCATGTTTTTCTCATGATGTGTTTTATTTTCCTGACATTTCAGTACGTACATGTAGATTGTATTTTTTCAGTTCATAGGAAAACCTACAATGCAATTCAGTCTTGTTAATTGCTTAAAACAGTTGTTTAAAATTCAGTCAAAATGTATTGATCTCAGAAATTTGTTTCTAATCATTAATTTCAAGTTTTCAAAGCATCTATTGAAATGTATATGATTATGAATGGTATTCTGTTTCACTGTTGATATATGAGAAGACTACATTTTTTTACAGATCTTCTGCAATATATGTTTTTATTCTTTTTTAGGCTCACCTAATTAAATGGGTTTCACCTTCACAGAAGAAAAGCAGAATGTTGTCTGAAGTAATGGAAAACTTTCCAACTCTGGTACTGTTCACTCCTCGTAACCTCGTTCATGGAATTTCTCCTTATTATGACTTGGTAAGAACAGTTATTTACTCATTAGAATCCAACAGTTTTGTTTTTATGCATGCTGATATGAAATTGAATGAAACTCTCTTACTTGTTATGGAGTCTCATAAAAAACAAACAAACTGGAATATAAAACAAGTTTCTATTAAAGTAATTGGCATAAAAAAGCCAACCATTAAAAGTCATTGTGGTATGTCAGAAGAACCAAATTATTTTGTGGTTGGTTGATTTTTATCATGATTATTTATTATGAGAAACCCAATAAGCCATATTGAAACAGATATACTTGAAATCCACTTCAGCACAGTTTTAGTGGAATGTGACTCTAATTGCAAAAGGTTTTCTGTGGAAATACCCTATGATTTTGCTTAAAATACTAATCATAGAATTATTTGTTAGAAATCTGAGCACACCCGACAGGGTCCACCATTTATATTTTTCTGTAAATGTGATTTTCCTTAAAACATTGTTAAAATTGGCCCTTTCTTGTTTAATGTAATTTTCTCAGTAAATTTATCAAAAAACGTTTTGGCTGATAATAGTAAGATATCTTGTGTGCATCCATTTGCTTAAGGAATTTAATGTATTATGTTTATTTTGAGAAACTGTTTTTGACATTTTCTGCACTTTACTGCTATGTCCCTGAGCACATCATGGATGGACAGTTATAACACTGTTTCAACTACTTCTTCATGTTTTTAATTAAAATTACTTGATAGTTATAAATTGAAGACCGTAGTGGGTATCTAAACACTATGAAATAAGTGTTATATTTTACTATTTTCAAATGGGTTTTACAAAAAAAAAGGGTTGCTTGGTATTGTGATTTATTTCTTTTTCACAAGACTGTGGTGGTATGATTTAATTATGAACTAATTTTTTTCTACAAAACACTTAGGTGCGAGAAGTTGTTTTAGACTATTACAACTGTAACTCTTCGATCTATGTTGCATCGGTGATACAGAAACTTTTTCAGAGGAGACAGCAAGCTGAGATGGATCTTAAAGAACTCCGTGAGAAATGCTCCATTGTTTTGGAAGAACAGCCCCACAATAAAGTAAATCTGTCTTTTTCATTCCTTTCATTACCCTAGCATGTTGTGTAGCAATCTCTTCCTATAATTAAACGTGAACTTTAACAGAATCTGGTTATGTTAAAGACAAGTTATCTGATAATAAAATATTTACCTGTTTGTCACTTACTTACCCTTTATAAAACTTAAATATGTGTCTATAATAGCACACGCTATTACTTTTTTATATTTTTCTGTAAATGTGATTTTCCTTAAAACATTGTTAAAATTATCCCTTTATTGTTTAATGTAATTTTCTCAAACTACATGTTATGTAACAATCTATAAAACATATATGTTGAAAAGTCAAATCGGATATAAAAACGTGATTGCCAAATTCTTTAGAAAATTATTATTTTCTGATAGCATTGTTAGCCAACCACTAAAACATAAAATAGAAATATATTTTTCTTAGAACATAAATTTTCTCTGAAATTATAATAATTATACGAAAAATGCTAAAATTGTAAAGGGTATTTCAAATTCTTCTTGTTTATATATTATTATTTTTGTTAATGTCATTGAACAGCAACATTTCCAAGTGGGATAACACCTAGTTTTAATTTTTTTAACTTTTTCAAGATGCCAAAAATATATGTTTTTAATAAAACTATTTTCGTCTGATGTATTCATTTATTAGAAAAAAAATTTTTGCTAAATTTTCACACTTGAATTTGGCATCATATGACAGGTCAGTAACATAATAGTTAAGTCTGTTATTCATGAAAATAAAATATATACAATTATTTTTATATGATGTTACTTTGGCCACCAAAAAGACTGTTATCAGTGCTAATTATTACATAATTACTCGTGCACTTTTAACTAAAAAAAAGCATAATCTGCTTTTCAGACAAATCTGAAGCCAACATTCATGACTTTACAACTACTTATAGGGTATTTTTCTCGAATAAAATATTAGTTGCATTCCAGCTCAGGAAAAAGATAAATAGAAGTGTGTTTTTAGGGAGATTACAATTTTATTTAATTGATTAGATTCAATGTATTAACATTTCTCAGTAAATTTATCAAAAAAGTTACTGGCTGATAATAGTAAAATATCTTTTATGCATCCATTTGCTTAAGGAGTTTCTTTTGCATTGTTATTATGAAGTTTAATATATATTGTGTAAAGTTTGATTAAGTACAGTCAATACTAATAGTTTTACTATACAGAATAAATATGTTTTTAAAAACACATGTCCAGGAAAGAGTAACTGCTATTTTATGTACCCATGTTTTAAGTAACTGCAGCCTATTATTTTACAATAACTAATAGCTAGGTGACTGTCAATAACTGGTGCCATTTACAGTTTTTATAGTTTTCTTAGTGTATTTATGTTTAATGAAGGAAAATCAAGAAAGATTATAATAATGACCTTAAACTAGAGACAGGATGCTTAGTTCCATAGTAAAAACAAGTTAAAGAAAAGTGTAGAGAGGATGATTAGTTCCACAGTAAAGACAAGTTGAAGAAAACTGTAGAGAGGATGATTAGTTCCACAATGAAAACAGGTTGAAGAAAACTGTAGAGAGGATGATTAGTTCCACAGTAAAAACAAGTTGAAGAAAACTGTAGAGAGGATGATTAGTTCCACAGTAAAAACAAGTTGAAGAAAACTGTAGAGAGGATGCTTAGTTCCTTTAACAGCAAATTACTTGTATCTAGAATGACTGATTTTCAGTTTAATATGTCTTACAAAATTTTACAACCCTGTAGTTTTTTTTGTTATGCCTTATTTGAAATAAATTGATATTAATTTAAATGCCTCTTGGCATGTGACATAATTCAAGCTCTAAAGTAGCAAATAGCATGTCTCATTTTGGCAATTAGCCCATGGACCCATGTACAGTAAAATGAAATTATTTTCTTCATTTAAAGTTACAAGGGATTAGGTTTTAGCTGAGGTTGAATGAAAGAGCTGAATGGTAAGAATGTATTGTACCCTTGATATATCAGTAGTTCTTAAATACAGAATATGGTTTTTCATTAAACTTTTGAATTCCAGTTTGTAGTTAGTTTCAGTATAAGCACACTCAAAATGTTTTTGGATAAGATCTAGTGATGTGTCATAAAAATAATTCCAAATCTGTTTTGGTTGTAATAAATATGTAAGACACAATTATAGAGCTTGTTTAACTTAGTAGAGTTGTTACTGTAGTCAGGTGGTAGACTTTTTATGCCACTAATAATGATACATCTTTCAACTGTTATGCTGCATTTTGATGATTTTGTACATTGAAACATGAAATACTACCAAATTGGTGTGCAGGTTGTACGTGTGACTTGCTTCAAAACATGATACCTCTGTTTCTCATAGGTTGTGTGTTGCACAGGAATATATAACTTTTTTGTAGTAGCGTATATATTGTAAATTTAGCTTTACATCTTTTCAATATTGAGGGTTCTGTTTGTTTGACTACAATTATTTGGTAACAAGCAGATAAAAAAAAACCTATCTCTCAGCTTGTAAAAGAACACTTCAGTAAGTTGCATGATTGTTTTCTATTTTAGATTGTCTTTAGGTGAAGAAAGTTATCAGGTGACTATTAAAAAGCTATACTAAAAGACTTGTCTGGCCTCTGCAAAATAAATTTTGGTGGGAAAGGCTTAACAGGCATTACATTATGGAAGAATAAAGGAAGATGAAAGTTATTTTGATGAAAAAAGAAAGAAAAAAATGACATCTATGTAAATATTGATAATTTTTAAATAGCATTAAATTAATTTTTATTGGCTGATGCTTTGTTTCTCATAGCCTACATAAATATCTACTGTAATAATATTGTATTATGAACTTATTAGTTTGTATCTTTTGCAGAATAAGATTAATGATGAACCAGGATTACAGAATTCCAACACATCAGAAGTTCAAGATGATAAAGTGGCTCAAATGGTTTCTGCTGTTCAAAAACAACAGTGTAAATCGTTAGAAGTTGCTCTGAGTTATTATGATTTTGGTTTTCCAAGCACGCAGTTTTATGGTGATTTTCATTTAAACTTTTCGGGTTTGGGTTGTCGAGTGAATACCACTTTAAAAGTTCTAGCAATGGACACTGTTCAATTTCACACCTTCCCACAACACTTAGGAATTGATATATGGAAGAAACAGCATCAGACAGCAGCTATGATTTTTGATGTAAAGGTAAATTTTTATGTTAAGGGAATAATTCCATTTTATATGCCACATTTAATATCTATAATGATACCTTACTTCCTCTCACATACCAGCTTTTCTCAATGTGTTCTGCACAAATTTTCCCTCGCCACTATTTTTTATACTCCCATCTACCCTCATATGTTTTCACGTGAGACAGTTGTGCGATAGCATGCAAATGAGTATGTGACAACCCTCCACCCATTGGAGTGCAACACAATACCTAACACAGCTGACTCCCTCTATTTATATAGCTCAACTTCACTTCTCTATTGACACTTATTGTGGTTAGACATATTTTTGGGCTCAAGCTTTACTCACGGAATTTCAATCAGTTACTTGTTTGTACACATTAATATTATGTGTCTTTACTTTTCTTATGTGTTTTTTTTTAACTCACCTGTGTGGATTTTATTTTTACTTCTGTCATTCAAAGTTATCATGAATTCAGAGTTTAGTGTTACAATTACTACCACTGCTGTTCTAACTGCAGTTAATCTTACTTTGTCTAAAAAGGATTTGGATCTGCAGTTATCGGTGAAAGACGTTATGGTCTAGGTTTGTCAAGAGTTGGCTACCTTTATGTGGGCTTCTGATTTACCTGAAGATTATTCTGTCATGCCTTGTTCAGGGGTACCTGAATGAGAGGATGATGATTTTGACAGCCTGTTTCTTCCCCCATCCTATGCCACACAGTCACATTTAGCTCCAGTGGATGAGCCAAGGCCTCCTCCTCATTTCATGGAGTTGATCAATCAGGTTTGTTACATTTTGCTCATTTCATTAGTTTCCTCCCCTTCCCTTTTAAGTGAGACACCTTTGGGCCAGTATCTTGTTCTACCCTCCTCACCAAAATATTGGGTTCATGCCAATAGGTTTGTGAACCAATTATGTTTTGGGGTCAGTATGCCTTGACTCCTGCATAATATGGAAGCCCATTCTTTGGCTTACCATTGGTTTGAGTTTCCTTTTTTAGACTCTCAGGAGTTGGATTTTCTTCTGCATCTGTGGTGTTCAGATCTCAGTACTTCAGTTACATTTTTCCAACCTGAATTCTTCTTTATCGTCCCTCCTTTGTTCCATTTCCTCTATTCACCTTTTTTCTGAGGCTCTTCATCTATCCACTGAGGGGCTTTTGGTGGAGTCTCATGGCCTGATTTTTTCCACTCTAGCATGATTGTCCTCTTCTGCCCTTTCCCTCCTAACATTGCTCCTCTGTTGTTGTGATCTTTTGGGTCAGGATACCCCTTTTGTCCCATGTCAGTTTACCCTTGACTTAGTTATGAGACTTCCATATGGCTCCCTTTTTTAAGGCAGGATGTTTTTGGGGCACTTCCTGGCTCATTAGAGTCCAGATTCGAGTCTGCCCATTTGCACACTTCCCTTTCTTCATTGTCTTCTCATTTATCTCAGCCTCCTGTTCCTGAATCTCCTCTTTGTCCTTCCTTTCCTTTGCCAGTTGCTATAACATGCATCTCCGAGGATAACCATTTTTTTTTTCAATGCTTTCAGCAGTCCCAGTGACTATGTGGTAGGTACTAGTCTGGTGGGGGACAGGCTTTTGCATTTTAGGAGTCTTTCACCACAAACCTTTAGGTTCTCTCCAAAGGACTAGTTCTTTCTTTTTCTTCCCCTCATCCCATCTCCTTCCCCCCTCCTCAGGTTCCCATTTCCAGCCAGCGTCTGTTTGAGGCTGTTCAAGATCTTCTTTGCAAGGTTGCTATGGAATGGGTAATTCCTTCTCAACTAGGTTTATATTCCCATTTGTTTGTTGTCCACAATAAGACTGGGTACTGGTGCCCCATTATCAATTTTTCTTCCTTGATCCACTTCCTAGACCTTCCTTGATTCATCATAGAGTCATACCTAACTCTTCAATTTGTTTTCACTCCTGGTCTGTGGATGACAAAGGAAGATGTCTCGGGTGCTTACCTCCACAGATCAGCATCCTGGCATTTTCTTTGTTTTGTCTATCACGGTTACATTTACTAGTTCCAGGCATATGTTTTTTGTCAGGTGGTTAAGACCTTTGCCCATTTTCTCCATTCCAGGGGCTATCGTTTCTACCATTACATGGATGACTGGCTGCTCCTAGCTCCTTTGTATGTCACCTTTTACCTTCATACTCAGTTTCGTCTTCAAGAAGCTGCATTGATAGGTTGTCTGCTCAAGGTGGAGAAGTCCTTCCGTATTTTTCATTTCCTGTCTCAGTCAGGCTCAACCTTCTTCCCTTTACCTGTGATCTATGGAGCTTCTGTTTTGGTCCATTTTCTCTTCTCCTTCTCCAACTGTGCTAGAGGTTCTATCTGTTTTGGAGATGTGAGCTTCTTTGAAGCCATCATTCCTCTCAGTTGAACCCATATGAAACTTCTTCAGTGAGCTTTACAAGTTCAGTGGAACCTCAATCGGAATCCCTTGGACAACCCTATCCATCTTGCTCCTTCCACAGCCATCACATTCGTTTGATGGCACATTATATATTAGGTGCCCTGAATCTGGTTATGGATAATTTATTGTACTCCAACAAGATTTTCCCAATGGAGTGGTCCCCTGACCCACAAATGTTTGGTTGGCTGTGTTCACAGTGGGGTACTTTAGAACTGGATGCATTTGCCACCCACCTGAATTTCAATCTTCCCAGGTTTTGGTCTCCTATTCCTCATCCTTTGGCTGTAGATGTTGATGTCCTTTAGTCAGGATTGGGGGGGGGGTCTGGTACCTTTATGCTTAACCTCCCATCTATCTTCTTCTTCATCTCCTTGCAGTTATACAAGCCACTCCATGTCAAGTCCTTTTGGTGGCTCCAATTTAGCTGGTGTAGACATGGTTTCCACTTCTGTTCCTGCTCTTACTGACACCTCCTCTTTTCCTCTCACCCACCCTCTTCAGACAACCTCATTCGGGCATTTTACTTCTTTCCCTTCCTTTGCTCTGTCTTCATGCATGGCTTTTGTTTGGTCCCTTGCCAAAGGGGCTGGACTATTCCCATGGGTTACTTCCCTAATTTTTTATTCAGTGCACCCTTCCTACGTAAGTAGTATGTCTACATTCATTGGTCTTCTCATTGTGGTTTTACTCTGTCCTGTCCTACTCTTCTGCATCTGACTAAGGACTTTATCTGGCTTTTCAACAAGGAGCTTTTGGTATCCACCATTGCTGATTGTCATGTGACATTGTCAGCTACCTACCAGTTCACAAGATTTTGCCATGTCTTTTTCAGTCGTTACCCTTTAGTTTCATCCCTTCATAATATCACAGGCCCAAAACTGTGGCTTCATGAGAGGTAGAATTTGCTTTCACTCCCATTTCCCTACTTTCCATTTCTCACCTTTATCCTCATTTCAATCTGGATTGACTCTTATGTCCTGTCTGGCTCTCTGCTGTTTCCTGCCTCACACTTCTTCCTTCCTTGGTTCTCAATCCAATTTGTTTATTCATTGGGATCCTTCCCTTTCCTGTGATTTTTCTCCTATTAAACTCAAGGGTTAGATTTGTCAGCTAATTCATCTTGCTTATTCTTACCTTTCTCCTGATAATTGTTGTCTCTTTAAAGTCTCCTCCAATCAAATCCATTACCTTACTATGTCCTTGGATGCACAATTCTGTTATCCTTTAGAGGATATAGTTTGTGCTGGCATGTGGATCACTCCCCATACATTTATCTTGCATCATCTGTCCGTTTACTGCTCTAGTAGGTAAGTGCTCATTTTATACTGTTCTTTTTTTTTACAGGGGCCCATTTCGCATGTACAGATAATGCTCAGTGTTTGGTTTTGCCTGATCAGGTAAACTTATTCTTAAACCTACACTGTATGACTATTCAGGTCAATAACACTCACCATTGAGATGGGTTGTTCTGCAAGACTGCTTGTAGGTTTTTCATCATAAATATGTTAGACCTGGACTGTACACTTATGGACTAACATGAGTAAAGTAGAAGGTGATTGCTGCCCATCCCTGCCACTCCTTGGTTTAGCTGTATCAGGAACAATCTGCTTTTCAATATAAGGTTTTGCAGTCACCCGTTGTATTGTCTCAGGTGTTGCAATCCTCTGGTCTCTCCAATACATTCACCCCCATTCTTCCATTTGAGTATGGGAGTCCTTACTACTTACCAGCTTCTAGCTGCTGGGAAGGTGGATCATGGAGGCTTTTTCCTGAGTGTACTCAATTCCACTGAGCTGAAAGTAGGGCAGTGGTGTTCTGCCAGTGTAGAGGGTGTATAGACACTCCTTCTACTGTGGATTTCATGTTCTATTCTAGATGTCACCCGGTTATGAACTGGATGATTTCTGCCACAATGTTGTTCACCTCTCTGGCTGGGCACCCTCCTTACTATCATCTCCTGGATGTCGGTTCCCAGGGGATACTGTGAGTGAGCCAGGTACACTCCTCCTACTGTGTACTGGATAATTCATTCCCAATGCAGCCTGGTTCTGGACTGGAGTTCAACTGGCACATTGCTGACACTTATCTGGATGTCAGTTACAGTATGATGATGCGGGTCCTTAGAATGGAAGATCTTCTTCCCTTCCAGTTCTCATGTCCGAGGTGGACAATAGAAGTCCCTCTTCCTACCATGGGTCTGGTATTCCTATCACTATACTGTTGGTGTTGGTTGAGGTCAAACTCCTCATTACATCTGCCACGCCCTAGCCACTCTACACCAGGGGTCCCTCAATTTAATTTATGGAGTTCCTCCTGTGATTCTGCCCTCATTGTGACACATCAATTTCATGGTCGAAGAGTATACCTGGCTCAGAAGTCATGAGGTCTTCTATGGGTGTGTCTTACATTCTCCTTATCTACACACCCCATAGGCTTCCCCTTTGGGAACTTTCTGAAAAGAGCTCATCTAGGTAATGTTACACTGGTTCCTCCACCTGATCAGTGTGGGGTTCTAGCTGTTATGTGAATAGAGGTAAGATAGCATGTCAGGAGTTTTTTTCTACACTGAAAATATATTTTTGATAGATTTTTACCTCTGTTCACACTTCCCACTCTTCCTCCCCACTTCCGGTGTTTTTTTTTATGTTGCCCAATCATGAAGTGAAGTTGAGTTAAGCTATATAGAGGGAGTCAACTGTGTTAAGAGTTGTGTGGTGGAGGGTTGTCACATGTGCATTTGCATGCTCTCATGTAGTTGCCTTGTGTGGAAAACATGTAAGGGTAGGTGAGACTTTGGTAGTTAGAATAATAAAAAATAGTAATAATTGGATACACTAATTTTAATTAATTGATAGTGTTTGTGAGTTGTGACACAATGATTAAGCTGATCAATCTGGAATAAATCAAAGATAATAAAGAATAATAATGGAAACGTCCTGTCCTCTGATATGTTCAAAGTAATTGGCAATGCCAAAAACAAGACTATGCTACAGGTGAAGGAAACTCTGCTGATTTTTTAAAAGAAGCCGAGACTAAATAGTCAGCAAAGCGCTATTGAACTTTTACTCTTAATTTAGTAATTAATAACGACAAGCTTTTGATTATGTTGATAGTTGGAATAACTGAAACAGTAATAATCATGTGTTCAGTGCTGTTTCTAGTTTTCAAGGGCTATTTATTGACATATTTCATTCCAAACATCTTATCCATTACACAGCTAGTAATCAAGTACAATTGGTAGATTATTTTCACATTACTCGATTTAATCATAATATCAAATAGTTGATTATTTTATGTGACACTAATTGTTGTAATCAATGTTCATAGGACAATGAATTGATTGCCCAGCTCTAATAACAGTGATATTTGTATCAAATTTGAACATGTTTAAGTTTTTTTTTGGTCTGAATTAGCAACTTCACACATTGATTATTTTTTATACATTTGTAAAGCAAATAAATATTTTGTATTTTGATGTTTTCCATTGATATGAATTTGCTCTCTTCTCAAACCTGATGATGATTGATTTATATTTATGAGTAGTTCTGGATTTCCAATCCTACGTCTGAGCTCACATTTACTAATGAAGCAAACCTTTTAATTCTATTGAAAAATATTACTTTTTGTACAATTTTATTTTAATGCTATAATCTTATCAAAAAATGAAAGTTTCATACTGTAATCTTCTGTTCAAAGTTTTAGGAAAATGTGGATTAGTTAGTATAATTTTTTACAAATTTTAAATTCAAAATTATTTTAACTGTTGCATTGTACAACATTGAGTTAATCTACTTAGTTTAAAATGTTAAATATTTAACTTTTTTTTCACAAGATTAGTTACTGTAGTGCTTTAGAAAGTAGTGAAGTGTCTAAATATTATAATACTGTTTATTTTTAAAAGTTTCAAGAATGTCAGCAGAGAAGAAAATTTTTTGATGGAGTTTTGCACATTTTCAGAAAGAGACTCATTATTTACTGAAGGAAGAACTAAACAAGAGCACGCTGAGTAAGTTAGTTATTTTTCACATACTGAAGAAATAGTTTTTAAAATGTGTTTATCTTAAGCAATGTTACAAATAAAATGATGCAATTATTATATTTTTTAACACACCCATCGATGGCTGTGTAGTAAATTTATGGCTTGTAATTCTAAAAATTAGGTTTTAATACTAGTAGTGGGAAAAACTCAGGCAACTGTGTAGCTATTTCATATAAAAAAATTGTTTAACATCTTAAGATTGTAACATAACTTGGAGCAAGTGCTACTCAAAAAGTTTAATTAATCAGAAATTGATGCTATGGTAGCCTGTAGCTCTATACTTATGTAATTGGAGCTTTCCAGTACTTGACCTTTAACTGCTGTTAGTGCTAAGTTGTGGTGACCACACCTTAGACCTAAAGGGACAGAATTTTGGTTACTGGTTTTACATTTCTGATCTGGTTGATCTAATTCACGAATTCTGTCTTCATTTTTCCCATTAGTTTGAAGGAGAACTGAAGGAAGTGGTTTCCCTGCTATTGTTGGATATCCTTCTGGTTCCAGTCTCTACCTTTTGTAGATTGGAAACTTCCTTGTGGTTACTGAAACTATTCTGACCTCTTCTGTATGCATGTAGGAGAATATTCAATCCCTGGGATTATTTTTAGGATTGATTTCTCCTACTGTTCTTCTGTTTTTTGGTTAATTGATTGTAACTTTACCCTTATAGCTTGGTTGGCTTGTGCCCCCAACTCTAGGGCTCATTTGATTAGAATATTCTACCAATCAGGGAGTTCTTTCTTAGTAATCTGACATGAATTTCAACAAAACCCCTTTTTTTGCAGGGTGGGTGTTTGAAAGCAAGCATAGATGTTGGTCTGTTTTCTGGTGTTCTTGATTTGGCAAGACCTATTACCTTCAATTCATGATCTTTCTCAGGATCTTGTCATCTTCTGTAAGGTAATGTTTTTATCCCTTATAATGCAAATATATCCAATCACCTCAGGATATTTGTGTTTTAGTGATGTTTCACTGTGTATTTTTTTTTCTCTGCCTGATGCTGTGGTAAAAATTAACCATGCTCAATTTTTATTCAATCAAGTAATGATTCTCTCGTATACTATTTACAAGAGAAAGATTTAAGATAGTTATGTTTATTATCTACTGTGTTTTTTTTTCTTGGCTTCAGAATGTCTGCTTTTGAGAAGTTGACCTTCTTAGATTCCAAGGTACACCTATACTTCTCTATTTTCTGGATGGCTAGGTTTGCTTCTATGATACATTTACAGTACAAACTGGAAATAAGTTTTGTACTTGTTAGGTTAAATAGAAAGGTATTTGTAAACCCCAAAAAGATCCACATGTTTGTTGTAGAAAAAGTAGGTTCCCCTATTGAACAAGGGGTCATATTGGAGTAAGGAACTGTATTTATTCACTAAAATCTGTAATGTTAAAATGATTTTTTTTATATTGTCAGAAATCTGGAACTGTTTAAAAAGTTGTGTAGCCTTCAGTGTAGAATGATTTAGATATTTAAATTGTCTCTGCTGTAAGCAGCAGATGTTATTCTAAAATAATCCGTTCCCAGAAATAAACATGTCATATATGTTATTGTATTTTTTTTTTTGAACTTAGTCTCTTATTTATTTATTTCTTCTTTTGAAGTGGATTTCATTGCAAATTACACCAGGGGACTGTTGGATCGTTATCTAAGAAGTGTTGTCAGAGAAACACAAGCATGTACTATGACATGTGGTACTAACTCTTTTTGTGTACATGAAGTAACCACAGCTTCTTTCAAAAGAGTGATAATGAACCCTAACAAGGTAAACAAATAAGAGCTGAGTGATTTGAATGATCATATTGTTTGACTATTATAGATACGGTTAAGAATTTATTTTAGATATTAGAGGGTGAAGATATCCAGTCTGAAACCTTGATCTTAGTTTTGAATGGGAAGCCCTGTCTGTCATCTAACTTGTCACTGAGTTAGCCTAGTTTTGAGAATTCCATCACTCATAAGTAATTCTGTTTAAGGACAAACTGAAAAGCAAAAAGGGGTTTCTCTTTTTCTGGTTGTCTATAAGTTATGTGTATGATTTTTGAGTTGTCCTTTACTCACCACAATTAATCTTCTTTTGTATACCTATTTGAAAAATAAATCTTGCAATTTATTCTAATAAATTATTCAACAAACAAGCTGTTTAGGATGATTTATTATTTTTTTATTTGAGCACCCAAAACAAATTCATTATGGAGAAAACACTATACACACAATTTACAGACCATCATTCTTGATTTTCAGTTTTTCCCTGATCAGATTTATTATTGATAAAGGATGTATTTGCCTTAAATCAGTCTAACTCTAATTGAATGACAGGCTTTACTTCACATTTCTTACCTTCCAATATTAATAATTTTGGTGATGGGTGAAATGACAGTATTTTATACAGCTATTCTGCTGAATAACTTAGAAGGAAAGATTAGTACTACATATTCTTCAGATACCTACCTTTACAAATGTAAGCTTATTGTGGTGAGTAATGGACAATTCAGATACCTTACACATAAATTCTGTGAATGTTTTTAAAAACATCAAGGGGCCTGGCATGGCCTGGTGGTTAGGATGATCGATTTGCAATCTGTGGGTTGTGGATTTGAATCTTTGTCACTTAACATGCTCACATTTTCAGTTGTGGGAATGTTATAATGTGGCTGTTAATCCCAATATTCATTGGTAAAAGAGTAGCTCAAGAGTTGGCAGTAGGTGATATTGACTAGCTGCCTTCCTTCTAGTGTATTGCTGCTAAGTTAGGTATGGCTAGCACAGATAACCCTTATATAGCTTTGTGCAAAAATTCCAAACAAACCAAACAAAACCAAAACAGCAATATTTTTTTTGTTGAAATAAGACTGCTTGTGTGCTTTTTATTTACTTTTAAATAACTTAATAGACTACAATGTGAAAGTAATAATGAGAAATTAAACACAGTACCAACATAGAAAGGGTGAAAGTTTTATATGTAGTACAAATTTTATTTTATTTTTCTCTCTTAACAAGTATGGTAATAATTGTACAACATGAGCTACATCATATCACAACATTAAAAGATACTAACTTGTTTTGATTTTAGAACATTGTGGAATATCAGAAATTAAGTTATTTTGTCTTGTGCAGAAGAAAATGGCACCATCCAAATTCAATCTACACAGTCTGTAGAATGAAAAATTACTCTAGTGATTGATCCTTTTCTTTGTATTCAGTATAAAACTTTTTGCACTTGAATTCAACCTAATTTTTGAACCTAATTCATGTTAAAAATAAAAACTTGTGTTTAGTCGGTTGAAACTTGTTTGGTTAAAATACCACAAACTTCAGATTCAGTGTGTGATTTATTAGGTAGGTTTGTTCTTAACATTATAGTTCTTGGTCAAGAGATTTATATGCCTGTTAAATTGCTGGAGAAATGAAGAAAGATTGGTTGATAGACATTAAATAGTTGTAGATGAGTTACGTTGTAATGTAAAAGCAAGTTTACAAAACTTCTTTCATAAAAACTATTCAATACAAATTAAAACTGCTTGGAAGTCCAGAAAATGTAACTACTTATTGAAGTAGTTCATCTGCTTCATTAGATAAAGATGTCAGTACACAATCTTGAGGAATAATTGACAGAGTTGAATTTATTTTCTGGTAAACAATGTTCTATAATTTTCAGTCACTGTTCTGAGATTAAAAATATATTGTTATTTCAGCTATGAGCATTTTTAAAATGGTACAATCATCTGCTCATGATGTGGTGCTCACAAAATGTTTGAAATATTTCATTTATTTATGAAGGTATCTCAATAAAAATTGGGAATCTGACAGAAAAAAGTAAGTTTTCTTCAGGTATAAGGGAGTAGTGCAATGAAACTGAAATATAATTAGAAAAAAAAAAGCAGTTGACTTTACTTTTAAGAAGATTACATTTAATAGCCTAGAGCTACTAGGGTTTGGGTAGTGTGTTGTTATGGCTGTAATACACCCTTACCTGAAAGTAGTAAATGCTTTGGGATAGCTTTAAGCTATTTAATGCAAGCTTGTTGATAATAAGATCAGTAGAAAAATATGAAATATCACCATTTATTTATTATTGGATTTCAAGAACATTTGGATTAGAAGGAAAGCATAGTACTTTTTCTGTGAGATTGTTTATTGAGATATTTTTGTAAATAAATGAGATATTCCAAAAACTTAGTCAGTGTCTTCCAAGTAGGTATAATGCCTCTTTAAACTTTCATAATGTCAGTAAAATATGTTTTTGCTTTGTAGGATGTGTTGCTATTTTATTATTCTTCATTGTGTGGATTTTGCAAAGGTGCTTTCCATATTTACCTAACAGTAGCAAGATACTTTTGTGGAGTCTCAGGAATTATGTTTGTAAGGTAAAATAACCAAATGTTTTGTACTATATATTACTTTTTCAAAGCACCAATAATTTTTAGTATAAGTTTTACATTTTGATTGTAAAAACCTTTTCTTTTACAAAAATATGTGCAATATGAAGCAACTTGAAATCTGTAATATATACTCTGGATTATCTTACATACAAAAAAATACAATTTTCTCTTCAAATATAACATATAATTTGATTAGGTGTGATACTAATGATAAAAGTAAAACATTATTATTGCAGAAACTGATTCTAATAACAAAGAATATGTAATAATATATCAGAAACACTATTTCTGCTATATCCAGTCCTGATGAGGCCTGTCATCCAATACTAGGGCTTGTTAGGTTGGCTGGGATATGACAGACATAGTAGCAGTCTAGGCACTATTTATATCATCAGTTGCATGAAGGGATATTATTATCAATTGTATTTAAGACATTTTGCAAATCAGATTTACAATAAGGATTGTTAAACAAATATTGTTTGTTTATTTTTAGCACCAATTATTTATTATTATTATTTTTAGCTCTGAATGAGCTATCTGGTCTTCTTGTTAATGAGAGAAAACTACATTAGTAATTCTAAGAACTTATAAGTGAAAGTAAAATACAATAAATAATAATGTGTCAACCACATTAAATATGCTATATTCTATGTTGATGAGGCTTAATATCCAATACTAGCACTCATCAGGCCGGCTGGGATATGACAGACATAGTAGCGATCTAGGCACTGTTTTTATTATCAGTTGCATGAACAGCAACTGTTATGGAATGAACTAGATTAAGTACTTAAAGTGTAAAGATATAATTATATGCTTACTAAAAATATTCTCTAAAAGGGATAGTATATAGTTATTTAATGTGTTGTGTGATCAATGAGCTTTAATAAAATCAAAAGTGAGAATAACAAGTGCTAGTAAATTCTGGTTAAGAAGTTAGCACACAGAATAACCTACAAAAGTTGTAATGTTTTCAGACAAGACCCAAAACTTGATTGCTTTTGAATAGTTGACTATTCTTCTTCAGGAGAATAAAGAAGTAGAATAGTCAACTATTCGAAAGCCCACAAGTTTTGGGTCTCATTTGAAAACATTACAAGTGATAGTAAATGATATTGTGATTATTGATTTGCCAACTTAAAATATTAGATATCTGTGTAGTCATAAAATATCATTTATCAAGGATTAGGTTCAAACTTTTGCAGAATATTTTATTAGAGAAAATTGTGATGTAAGACACATAGGAGGGTAACATGCTTAAAAGTATCAAAACTATTTAGGATATCATAATACTAGATGGCTTTCCTCGAAAAATGCCATGTGAACTCAGTAGACCTTACTACTTCAAATTCTTGAAAACAGTACAAGTAACTTCCTAATACTTGCTTATCTGATATTAAAGTATATCATCACAAAATTTATATTTTTTAACTACTCTTAAACTTAACTACTTTTGTTGTTAGTTTGACTTCAATAAAAGACTAACTTCTTCACCATTTATGTTGAAATTAGTTGGTAGATGCAGAAAGTTATTATTAACATACACCGACGACAGCTTGGATCAGGAAAATAAGATAGGCAATCTAAGAATTATTAATTAGCAAGGCAAAGTTTACTGAAGGATAAAGAAAACTTTGTTAATCTTTAAAACTAATTCCTCATGCATAGTTTTCTTGTTTTAAATTTTGTTCATTATGAAGAGGTGTAATCTCATTTAACAGAATGTGTTTGCTAATTTTTTATTTGTGTCATTTTTTTTTACATGTTTCAGCTTACCATAACTATGGGGCAAATTTACCTTGTAACATATTTTAGACTAGTCCTTTCATCCAACTACTTTTAACTCCATATATTAGTTCTGAGCAGAGTTTTCATCTGCAAGCACTTTGCTCTTGAGACAATTAAGTTCACTAAAGTCAGTTTTTAATTGCAAAAGGTTAACAGATATTTTTAAGATATATATATAAATGTTAATTATTTAGATTGAATGCATATTTCTAAAATTCATTGTATTTTGTGCTTAGGATTAATGGAGATGAAAATGATCTACCTTGGGAATTTACAGTTGAGAGGTACCCCACCTTGATATTCTTCCCAGCACATAGGTAGGTACTTATTATTACAGTAATAAATAACATGTTTTCCTTCTGTAACAGGTGGGCTGTGTAAGCTGGTTGTTGGAGCTCAACTTTACCACCAGTCACACTAGATTTATATTAAGTCCAGGTATACAGTCATGAGTGGAGTACACAAGTCACTAACTCGAGATAGCTTACAGTTAGAATAAAGAATCAACTCTGAGAGTGAGGTTCCAAAAACACAATCAAGATTTAATATATATATATATATCCAAAATCAAAATACAATGTTTACAGCAAATACTCGTTTAGTTCATCAAGCAAATCCTCTATAATTCTGATCAAGTTACTTATTATACTCAATAAACTTTCAGTTGGAACACTAGAAGGATTATATTCAGACATGCTTAAGTTCTAAGTTCCTTTTATCATTACATATTAACTAAATTACTTGATCAAGAGAAATACAATTCATTACCTACATCACTCTTGAGATGGTGGTTGGCTTTGTTGCAGGCTTGAGAGCTTCAACATCTTTTCATACTTTCAACTTGTGACTGATAGCATGGTTAGGAGACTTTTCTTTTTTTTGGTTTTGGAGAACTCTTTTTTTATATTCTAGGAGAACTTTTCTTTAACTTTTCAGCTTCAAACATGAGTTTTTAAGTGAAATTCTTTAATATTCTTGTGAGTGTTCAAGTAGTATTTGCATCTACCCGCAAGTAGGTTTGACACTTCATTGGACAATTTCTGCACATTCATGGGCTTTTTGAGAACCAAGACCAGAACTCTTTATTGGTTATAGTAGGAGTCAGTGAATCGGCAGCCTATTCACTTGTACTGCTCCATACTTTTTGGTCATCACTACTACATCAAAGTTCCCTACTCCTACATATGTATCCTACTCAAAAGCTTCATAGTTTGTGAATTCTTTTTCGTCTTTTATTTAATTTATTTATTTTTCTGAAGCATTTGAATATATAAAAGTTGCATAATATCCAAAAATGCTTCACTTCAAAGCTTTAGAAAAGCTAGAAAGTACTGGAGAGAGCATATTTTAAAATCTGAGTGCTAGTACACTGGTCTTTGTCATTGTACTTGAATTTGGATAGCACATTATGAAGTTGTAATAAGTTCATCAAGAAAAGTTAGAGATTAGAAATGACATATAGAGTTGTGATTTTGTTTTTAAATGCAAGAAAAACAAGTACATACCTTGTTAGGCAGTAGGCTAATTAACAGAGATGAAAATAAATCTTCAATTTGTGGGATTTTTATCATAAGTATTAAGCCTATTGTGTCCATTTCTTGATAGTTTTTGGTATTTAACACCTGAACATTATTTTTTTACTTCACATAAGCCATATTTTAAATAGATTTTTAGCCTAGCTGATGAGTTATTGAATGAGAGACCTAGACAGTGACTTGTGGGAAAGAAGAGATAGATTTGAAATACTATTTATACATCCTCTGGTTTGAAATTCATAAATAACTAATTGAGTGAAATGTGAGTAAGTCACCTGTTGGTTAATATGACTTGTATCACAAAGTCTAGATCAACCTTTTTTTGAACCATTTTACTGGTTCAAGCTACGGAATGAAATATCGGAGAGTGCGCTTGCACTGTTTATGTATGTATGGCATGGACACCCATAATTAAAGCAATACAGAAGTCATGTGGATTTTCTTCTCTACAGGTCTTCAGAAGATAGATATGAAGAGCTACCTGGCATAGTTGCTCTATCTTTGATGTATATGTTGCTTTTCAGCAATTTAGAGTGTTCCAAGATCAAAAACCGGCAAATAGCCAAAACTGAGATTTATTATTTTTGTTCATCATCATCATCTTTCTTCAATAGGCTTAGCACTTATCTTGTTCTAGCAGTAACTATAATTTTTTCATCATTTGATAGAGGAAAACATTTTTCACAATCTTTCATTACCTATTTTATTATTATTCTATGCAAAATTAAAAAGAAAAAAATCATAATTCTAGAGTAAATGATGTTATTACCTCTTGAAGTTAGCTTTCTTGCATAAATCTGGTGTTCCTTTAAAAAACTTAAGTATAGGGTGAAACGGGAATTACCAGCCAATAATAGATGAACATAACATGACTGTAATGTAGTATACTCTATGCTTTGTATACTGTACAATTGGTGTCTTTAGGGAGCCAACCCCTATATTATGTATGAAATGAAGGAGTAAAAAGAAATCAATACAGAAGCTAGATATGAAGAACTACGTGGCATAGTCACCCTATCTGTGGTGTATATGCTGCTTTTCAGCTATCCAGTGTGTCCCAAAATCAAAAACTGGGAAAAACAAAAACTGAGATTTCTTATTTTTATTCATCATTATCTTTCTTTAACAGGTCTAGCAACTACCTAGTTCTAACAGTAACTATAAATTTATCATCATTTGATAGAGCAAAACAGTCTTAAGGATCTTTGACTACCTATTTTATTATTATTCTATGCAAAATTTATAAAACTTTACAATACACTCTATAACCTAGTTACACATGTATGCCATCTTATAAAAAAAAAAAAGTAAACAAACAAATAATAGGAAAAAGTTTATCGCTAAATAAAAAAAAACTACGTAGGGCTGAGTACTGAACTTGAAAAAGGAACCAAACAAGATAGAGATGGAAGTGGACATATCACTTGATCTGGCTAGTGATCACACAGCAGACTAAGCCATGTCGAACTTACATGGAGAAAAAAATCCCTACATTACTGGCTTCCTCACTGGTAAAACAAATATAGCCAGAATTTCCAATTCTAAAATGTTACTCTTTTAGTCATAAAAGTAGTATTCTAAAGTTAACTAAAAGAAAAGTATAATGATGAAAGCTGAGATTCTATTCAAACACCAAGATCAGGACCAGCACACTTTGACCTCCACCTATGCATGTAGGGCTAAGGGAAACACAATGTAGCTTATTGGTTTAGTTGTGATTTCAAGTAAAGTTGAATATGTTCCATGGTTTTTTTTTGGTTTTTTTTATGAGTCAAATACTTCAGATAATGATATTTTTTTAACTGAATGTGCACACAGTCAGTCTAATGGACCAACCCTGTATTGGAGAAGTAATGTTGACTATAATTCTGAATTTATGAAGTGTATCTTCATGGAATGTAACAAGCTTTTAGTAAACACTACAAATCTGTTTTACATAAAAATTCAGATCTGTTAATATATTTTTTGTACTATGTCTGTGAAATGACAAAATCAGTCTGATTTCAGACTCTGATATGTGGGACTGCAAGTTGGTGTTCATCTGAGGAATAGGAATACTTTTGTCCATTTCACATTTGCAAATTGTATTAACATAATCACTTCAATCTCCTAAATGCATATCTCAAGTTTTTTCACTATTCCTGTATACTATACTTGGTATTTTCTCTAACATGAAATGCTGCAAAATCAGTATTGTAGTATAACATGAAAAATTGATAACTGACATCAGATTCATAATACAATGTTTAATGGCACTCTGCACAAGATCAGGGCTAGCACACTTAGACCTCCATCTATGCACATAGGGCTAAGGGAAACACAATTTTAAAAGTTTAGTAATTAATTCATCTTCAAAGTGTTTCTTTTGATAAATAGGAAATTATGCCCCAGTGTTTAAAGTGTTGTGTTGTGGAAAAAAACTTCCATTTTTTAGATTATATTGTTGCTGACTGGGGTGTTTTGGATATTAACCACAAATTGAAAAAGGAAGAACAAAAAATGGGAACACTGTTCTAGAATATATTTATTTACCTATATTCCTCTATTACTTATTCAGCAAGGTGTAAAAGCTCTATGCAAATACTTCATATCAAGTGATATAATTAGGTTTAACTTTTGCTGTTTTAAAGCAGAAAATGATTATACTAGCAACAGATTCATTTGATGGGAATCGGAATTTTATAGTAATCAGTAGAACGACGGTAATAGCAAACAATCGACACTTTGTTTTCGGTAATGTACGTTTATTCTTCAGACGTTTTGGAATATTCACATTCCATCTTCAGCGACTGTATTAATTAATCGATAGTATTAAATACATATATTCATTCAGTTGGAACATTTATAGCAGCAAAAGAAAAAACAAACAATCTAAAACAGGATTTAAATAGGAAATAAAATTTTAACAATTATATTATGAAACTAGTGTGGTAAAGAAAGGGAGGTATAAAGATAACATTGTATAGTTGACAATGTGCTAGGGATATTTATAATAGGCTTAGCTGTAAAGAAGTTGTGCTATTGTTATTGTTAAAAGTAACCTCATCCTATTACCGACATTCTACTGATTATTATAAATTGATTAGAAACAAGTGTGCAGGTATATATCAATGATGTGTTGTTATCTTTGGCTGAGTACTATTATTGTTACAAGTCAAATTGATTATCACAAATGTTTTACAGTAAGTGATAGAAAAAAGAATAAAAGCTAGATGTAAATTTACGAGAATCATTTGTGACACATACAGGTGCCTATATTAGTTTAACTTGGACAAAGTAATGAGCATACATGTCAAAAACAACTATCATAAATAAATTTGTAGTTTGCTTTGGTTTTTGATGTTAACTGTCATGGTATTTGAAGAAGTTACTCATTCTTAATATTTATAATATCAATTCAAAAGTACTATAAATGCTGAGTTGTACTTTCATGTAGTCATAGCTTTTAACACAACTTCATGGAAGTTAATATTAATGATTTCTGTTAATACTAAATTTGACTTTGTCTTTAAGATATTGTACTTCATACAGGAAAATGTCTTTTTCGACTTTAAGAATTTTTACCATTGTATAATTAAGTAGTGATTATGTACTATAATTTGTCACTTCGTGTATCAAAATTATTAATGTGTCAAATTCATGCCACAGTCTTTAACCCTACTCCATTTCTTTATAATGTATTATGTAAAAACAGTCATCCAGGTTCCAGATGTCTCTGATTACATCATCAATATTACATAATATTATTTAGTGCAGGAAAGAAACAATAGTTTTTTCCACGTAATCTTAATGTATCTATACATCTTCATAATGCCACTTCTTCTAATTAAGGATGTTGAAATCATTGTTAGAAATTATTTCTCTGTTTTAGATAGAGCCTGTTTTGAATAATGCATATTTTGTATAAAAAGTATTAACAATTACTTTGGATAGTGAAATATTTTGGGAACAGTTTAGCATTTTCTACTTATGGGTATTTAGTTTTTATTTAATAGTACTGCATCACAACTGTTATTGGAATATGTGTATTAAAAATGTAGATCACTATTGTTGAATAAGAGAGTTAGGAAAACATTTAGGTTTAAGAAATCAATGTAACAGAAAGATAAGAAATCCTATAACCCCAAGTGCTTTTGAAAGGTGGACATTTCTTCTTCAGGGGCAAATTTCAGAAGGAAAGTCTACCTTATGAAAACACTCAGGTTATAGGGTTTTGTGTCTTTTGTATTGAAGAAGAGAGAGAACATTTATTAAGTCCATAAAGCAGTTATAAAAAGAACCATTTCATATAGTTTTACTATTTAAACTTTTCAGGAAAGCTGAGAGTGTTACTTTCCCACCATCATTGTCTCTGACAACTGTCAATCTCCTTCAATTTATCCTGACAAATGCTCAGCATGGAGTTAGATGGCAAGCTGCAACAGTGATGTGTAGTAAGAAATGTGTCAAGCAGAACTTTCTAAATTCTCTTGTAGAAATTCAGCATCATTACATTGAACATCGTATCCTGCTTAATCAAATCTTATTGGTTCAGAGAAAGTTTGACCTATTACAACTGAAATCCAGCAGGTCGGGAAAGAAATGGAAAGGTTTAGAGGAGGTGCATCAGAATCAAATATTAAAAAGTTATCTTAAACACCTTGTACTAAGTTTAAGAGAGAAGAGAAAAACAATTGCTAAAGTAAAAAACCTGCAAGAATTGCTCAAAAATAGGTTGGGTTTTCCATTAATTGATATTACACATCAGGATCTAAAAACATTTTCTTTACAAAATAAGACCTTTTATAATAGGCAATTGGAAGTAAAGAAGCAAGCAAAAACTTCAAGAAGTTCTACAAATTCAGGACGTTATTTAAGAAATGAGAAAAAGTTAAAAAAGGATGAACTTTAAGTAAATATAGTGACTAGTCAAAGTGATTGAGTCTTGAGAAATTTGCCATTTTGTTTCACTAATACATTTAGCATTCTTCCAAAGACCTTGTTGGATGCTAGTATTTCTGTTTGTTTATTCATTTTTGCAGGACATAATAAACCTTTTATATTGTTGAAGTAGACAAAGTATTATATACTTAAAAATAATTTAAAACAAGTGGAGAAATAACAATCAAAATGTTTGGCATTACTAAGTATAGAAGTATAATCTTTGCTGTATATGCTTCTAAGCATTTTTACTGTTGCAATCTGAAACTTAGCAAAGTTAACATGGGAAAATGCTGTGGATCATCATGCTGGTCCAACATTAATAATTTTCCTTTCTGACATCCATATTTTTATGGTTATAAAAGTTTCAAGAAGCTTAAGGAAAATATTTTTTTAATGTTTTCATAAATGCTCATGTTTTTATGACTTAGACTTGTTTGTTGTTATATACTATAGAAGACTGTTTGGTATTGGTTATCTTACATCGATTAATGCAAATAGCCTTAAAAATCTTTACTTCAAATGTCAGTATGAAGGATACAGTACAAAAATTACTGTTCAGTTGTATTTTAATTTAGTAGTAACCCCAAATTTAAGAGCATATTTTGTGAAAAAAAGAAAAGAAATAATATATTGTAGATAATTTCAGGTTAGCAGCACAGAAAGTTTTATATTAAAAATGTGAATTCATATTTTTTCTGGTAAGATTTTTAAAGTAAGTTGAAGAGAATGGAATATATATAATGTGAAAAACTTAGCAAGTCAATAATTTAAACTGAAATTTACCATACATTCTTACATTGTGTTTTTCTATGCAAAACCAATGGATGTGTGTGTATTATACTAATATTTTATCAGTTTTGTTTTTGGTTTGATAGGTAATGCATTTATTATTGCATGATTAATATTGAATTAAAGGTACATTAACCCATTAATCAAATAAAGTTATATTTTCATGAAAGAATATAAAGATGTAAGACTTTCCCCATCCTTTACCTAAGTCTTTAAATCATGCAAAAGAACTTATGTTTAGTGAGCATTACAAATGAAATAAAAATTCCTCCCTCACACTTGTGATACTTCAGTAATGTATCTTCTCTCTCATGGTATCTTTAGTTTACCTATGATTATGTAAAAGTAGCTGTAGTGTTTTTAGAGTGCCTCATCCTTGGTGTATGACATAATCAGTCAGTGACCCCATAGGACTGTAGTTTGAGTAACATAAAAAAAATAAACCATTAAAATATTTGTTTATTTACATGAAGTAATAATAATTAAAAAACACTAATAATCTGTTGGGCAGTAAAGTAAGAAGAAAAAAAAACACTTGTACACTCCAGGTAATAATAATTTTTTTTTTTATTTCAGCTAACATGTCACCACTGTGGCTTCATCAGGGGTAGTAGACAAGAAGCCACAATGGTGAAATATTAGTTGAAATAAAATGTTTTCTTTATTATTGTCTGGAGAGTATAGTTTTTTATTCTTACTTTATTTCCAAAATGCCTAAATCCCTCCAGTAAGAACTACAAATTCTGAAAAACAATAAAATTAATCATCTGTACTTAACCATGCCAAACCTTTTATATTAATCTGATCTTCATTTTCCAGGATTAAAGCAAGTACCATTGAAATATGTGAGTTTCTTATATAATTACTTTGAAATTATCATGGAATATGAATA